TGCCCTGCTCAGTGCCCAGTGCCAGGGTCCAAAAACCTGTGGACAGTTCCCAGTGCACAGTGCCCAGTGCACAGTTCCTAGTGCCTAGTGCCCAGTGCCCAGTGCCAGTGACCAGAGACCTGTGGACAGTTCCCAGTACCCAGTGATCTGTGCAAAGTTCCCAGTGCCTAGTGCCCAGTGCCAGTGACCAGAGACCTGTGGACAGTTCCCAGTACCCAGTGATCTGTGCACAGTTCCCAGTGCCTAGTGCCCAGTGCCAGTGACTAGAGACCTGTGGACAGTTCCCAGTGCCCAGTGCCAAGTGCCCAGTGCCGGTGCCCAGTGTGACAAGCCTTCCTGAGGGGGAGAGGGACTGAGAAATGCATAGCCGGTCACTTTCAGATGAAAACAAAGCAGCTCATTTACGGAGGAAGTGAAATCCCACTCTCACAGGCTGCCAGGGCTCTCGCTGCCTGCCAGAGGAGCTCTCAGAGAGACATGGGAACGCCGAGCTGTCAGTGCAACTAGCAGCAGGCTGTCGGGGGGGTTTTAATAAGCTCCAGTTCCTGGCAGGGGACATGCTGTCCCGTTCCAGGCTTCAACTGTGAATACCTGAGAGCCAAGTGTAATGTGTAGCTGCTTCAGACAAGCCCATTTCCTGGCAGTCAGAACATCACTTGGAAAGAAAGTGGACCCTATTGTCTCTCTCTCTCTGCTGAGCTGTGATAAGACAGTGCTTATCTAGTCAAGCAGGGCTATAAACTCCAGGCAGCACCCTCCAGCTTTTAGTTTCATGATTGCTTGCAAGGCACTGATGTTTACACTGGAGCAAAGATCGGTGGTTCACAGAATGAGCTGAGCAGCTCACTAACCAGATGTTGTTTGTTGAAGGGAGTGGAATAAGATGGTTGTGAAACATTAAAAACAATGTAAAGCATCAGAAGAAAGGGCAGAAAGATGAAGATGTTGGGGAGGATTGCATCGTAGAAGCAGAGAGATCCAGCTGCTGAACATTCTTCATTGCATCAACTGCAATATTTCTGCTTTTAGCTTTGCGGAGTCAAGTCTAGGTCAAGATGTGACCCATATTTCTTTCTTTCCTTCCTGTCTGGCCGATGAGAGTCAGGAAATGCAGTCTTGCATTATGGATGCGGGGAAAATGTCTAGGGGACATCCCGGATCCTGGCACTCTTAACCATTTCAAGTCGCAGGTGAACCAAGATTTCACTCAGCCTGTCTGCTAGCACAGTTATGTCAATGGTGGGGAGATGGATCCTTATGCACACAAAAAAAAATCACTGGAAGTTTGTAGCTAAGGAAAATGTGGACTTCTGTCTTCAGCTGATGAAAGTTGAGTTTTGAAAAAGGGAGAATCCATGCCAGCTGACCTCCTAAGATTCTGGCCCAGGTCGCATTCATCCATTTCTAAACACTTCTTCAGAGTCATGGGGGCACCAGAGCCTATCTCTGCGAGCAACAGGCTCAGGGCAGGACACACCCTGGACAGTACGCCAGTCCATCGCACACAGTGGAAGGACACCAGAGCACCCAGAGGAAACCCACGCAAAATGGTGCAAACACCCAGACCCCCTCAAAGATAGCACCCCAGGAACATGAACCCAGGTCCCCAGCACTGCAAGGCAGCAATGCTAAGCACTGCACCACCGTGCCACTCCTGTGTGAGTCATGTTTGAAGGAGCTGTGGTCACCCTGGTGCAGGAAGGTTAAGCATTACACTTGCAGTCCATGTGTCCTTATAGCCAGCATACCAATGCTGGCCTCTGGGAGCTGGGTTTGACTGCTGCTAGCAGCATCAGACTGAACAGGAAGATTCGAAACGTCATCTAGAGGACCTCTTGGTAGGAACACAAGAAAAGATACAAAAAGAGGAGCCGTTTAGTCCATCTCGCTCCTCTGTTAGTAGTTCATAGACCCAGAGACCTCATCCAGCCATAACCTGAAAGAAGCCAGGTATCAGTTTCAATGACTTGGCTGGGTAGCTTGTTTCTCACCAGCACAACTCTTTGATGAAGAGTGCCTCCCTGCCTGCCCTCAGTCTTCAGCTTCAATGTCCTGGGTATACACAGGGCATGGTTGGTGCTGTGCTACCAGTGTGCAGGAGTGTCGTTCCTGGACTGGACACAAACCCCAAGAAAGCTTCAGCAGAGCAGCCGATTGCAACATTCCATTCAGTCAAGAGAATCCCAAGAGACCTCTGGGAGAAAATAGGCTGGTGTGAAGGGAAATATTTCTGCGGGTAGATGATGTGGGGAGGTACAGTAAGAGAGGGTTGCGATGTGTGTGCTTTTTGTCGGAGGGGTTGGGGGGGCAGTGTTGTCTTGTTATCAACCTGCCCAGTCTGTTTCCTGAATTTCAGCGCGCTCTCTCAGTCAGGGCTCCTGGGTGAGTGGTGCTCAGCGCCGGTAAATGAGAGAAATGGAGAGGCATTCTGCGGTTTTCTTTTCAAGGAGATTTCCATGGTAACCACCAGAACACCTTCCAAGCTCCCCGCATCTTTTAATAACCATCATGACTGTGGGGATCTGAGAATATCAGAGGAAATCGTCTTCCAAGCTGAGTTTTTAGGTCACCAGCATTTCTGTCCACCCCCCCCCACAGCACACACAATTGTTGAAGCGTGTTTTTACTATCGTTGCTGTCGCGTTCCTTGAGTTTCAGCAAGGAAATCCTTGATAGGGGATAAGAGGCCGAAGATGAACTGAAAATTCACCCCCAGTCCTGCGTTGGGGCAGATCTGGGTCAAAACTGTCCAATACTGAAGATAAGTGAACATCACAGAGCGTTACAGCCTTTATTATTACAGCAACGAGCCAGATTGGAAATCCAGCTCTAAGGACAGTTGTGAAAGAGAGCGTCTTATGGGCAGATTGGTCAGAAGCAAAAAGTCTTCAAAACAGATGGCACGGCCTGACACAGATTCAGCCCCACTGGGCATTCCCCGACAGCACTGGGGAAGCAGTTTATTAACAGATACTCTACCCTCTATCATACTGACTGATTAGTTGGTTGGTGGGTTTCTTGTCACGTTATCTCCCTGTAGTATTGTTCAGACAAACAGCAGGGCTCATTGGCAGGAGATCTGGGGACTCAGGAGAGATCACCTTGCTGTTACACTTTCAAAAATGTCCCAGCGTCAGTGTGATCCAAGAACATAGGACTCATGGGCACGAGAAACATGTGGTGTATTATGTAGGCGTGTGTTCTGTTCTGGTAAGTATCAAGGCAAGAGGAGGTGTGTTTGTGGACACTGGGAAACTGTAATACTGTAACACTTCAGACCTGTAGGGGGCAGTGTGCAGCAGACAAGACTCTGAAGCTGTCAAGAGCATAGAATACCACAGTTAAGCACTCCTACAGGAGCTGCGACAACCATCTAGATTTCAATCGAGTCTAACAGTTAACGGCAAGTGTAACTTTTAGACCTGTTTTTCTGGTGCTATGCTATATAAACATCAAACAACTCCAAAACTACATAACCTCAAACAACATAAAGAAAAAGCATGTTGGAAACACTTCTTGATTATCAGTCTCAGGTTAAGTACTGAGCTACGATAATGAGAGAAGCAGAAGGAATATAAGTTTGGAAATGTTACCTTTGACACTTCTCTTTCAACCTTTTTGTTCATGTTCTTTTGTGCCACAATATCAGGAAACTGTAGCTTTTTCCCCGTGACACATTCAAATATCAACCATGAGTGAAAAATCCCTGTATTTGGAACACATCTCTGTTTGAATCTTAGGCTGCTCTGATTTTCCAGAACACAACTTCTGGAGGGGGACCTGGAGACGTAGTTGGGGGGTCCAATGATTCACTTAATTGGTCACACTTGTTTCTCAAGACTTTATTTGTTTATTAATACAGTAGATCCCTACAGGATTGTGCGTAAACGGGTGTCAACATTTAGGGTTTCATCCAAGTATTCAACATCGATCCAAGTATTAAAAATCCTCATCGGAACTGACAAAGCAAACCCAGTGAACTCCTTCAGAATGAAAAGTGAAACACAAACTAATGGACACAAATGAAAACTACAGTATGTGAAAGGGCATTTAAAACACAGAATATGGTAGTATTGAAGAAGTTACCCAGCCATGTTGTTGAAGCTGATCCTCTGGCATCTTTTAATAATTGTTTATATCTGATCAGTTAACTTCTAACTACCAAGTGAGTTGGATGAGCTGAACAGTCTTTTACCCACAGAGTCTTGTAACTTCAGTTTGCTTAATGCTACAGAATCCAAGGTAAAAACTAGGACTATGAACAAAGGGCTTTGTCGAGTCTATAACCTAAAATAAGATGCATTCTGCTTCTAATAAATGGTTCTTTTCACTTATATGCAACCACATTTCAGAGGAAAATAAAGATGGCAAAATTGTTATTGAAAAGTGCTCAATCCAGGATGCCTAACACTTAAGTGCCAGACTTTTTCTATTTGCACATTTGAAGTCTGAGGTAATAAACTGGTATGGATTTCTGTAGTTTAAGAAGAAAAAAAAAGCACAGTTAGCCAATTGTGTCTAAAACTCATCAAAAGCAATGTGAGTTTCTTTAGTTCTTGGCAAACACAAAATAAAAAAGAATAATAAGATGAGCAATATGCTTACTATGAATCTCCTGGATAGGATTAAAATTTAAATATGCCACCATAATCCATTTAACTCTGCTTAGAACAAACAAATCGGCCTGCAAAAACCCATTACATTATAATGATTACAATTATTTTCTAAAGATGCTTAAAATACATAACCAACGTCAATGCGGTTTTTTTATTGTTGCTGCAAGGCATTAACAAAAATAAGGATGATTTCCAAAGTAATCATTTTAGAGCCCCCGAGAATCAGAGCAGGACATCACTCCTCCGACAACGGGAACTTTTCCATCTATTCCTGTGCCTTTCGCAGTTAGTGGCACAGTGTGCACGTTACGGATGGTGATGCTCAATTTGAAAAGGGGAAAAGAGATCTGGGTGGGAGTTCAGTAGCTACAACAGACATTATGAGTTTCCAACCTGGAGACTGTAAAATGCTGTTTAAATAGATCCTCCTCTGAGCCCCTGTCTCCCGTGCACCAGCACTGCTCTTACTGCGAGTTCATGAGCTACTCTACATGCCAGTTGGACCAGAGCACCGAATTGGTACTTATGTGCCACTGATCTGGTTATTGAACAACAGCCACGAATTCTGTCTGTATGGGTTGATGTAATGGGGGGACTTGCTCATCCCCATGCTAGGAAGAACACACACTTAGGTTTCATTCCTTCCATGGCGACACCAGAACATTTTCATTCTGTTAAAGGTAATGAATACATGTATCAATAATGTCAGTTAACAGACACAAGTGTTCAAAGTCAACCCAGTGCAACTGAGAATCAACAGTGAAACACGAGCCAGAGGACAACAAGTGGAAACTATGTGGAACACAATACCTTACACCAAGAGTTGTGGGAGTATGCACCAAACTACCCTGCCATGATGTTGAAGGCGATACTTTGGCTTCTTGCAAGAAGCAGCTGGATGAAATCCTAGGATCAATCTAGATAGGCCAAATGCCCTCCTCTCATACTTAACCTTGTTCTTTACAAGCTTTTACAGTAGGTATCTTTTTATGATGTACTGGTTAATGTCCCTGTCAGATGTCATTAACTAGGTACCATACAATAAGAGTAAGACTAAACAGAGCTCAATGTGTTACACTGGTGTAATGATGGATTTCTCTGGCTGATGTCTAGGAGTCACTGCAGAGAGGTGTAACAGGACTCAGAGGCACTAAGCATGTTACAGACATCACCCCTCTTGAAACTTGTGCAGTTCTGCTGTGCTAGACAACCCCATCTTTTGGTACAGGGGAGTTTACTGCGGTCTAGGGAATAGTGTTGTGTGGCTCTGAGCTCACTTGCAACAGTGATTGTGTCCCTGGAGGAGCAGAGCAGAGCTGCACGTGTTCCACATGAAAGCTGATTCCCAGGGTGGGTAAGATCCTTGGCTCACTGACTTACTAATGACCACAGTAGCTTCTATAATTTGGAGCTTGCGGCTTTTGTTACTGTATGTGCTCTATAGAAACAACATCCCAAATTTGCCTGCCACGTCCTTGCTGAACTACGCTACAAAGTTTTTCGTGATGTTGCCACCACTTGGTCTGGTTAGCCAGGCGCAGCCCTGCGATCACCTTGGTGTTAAGTCGCCTTCTGTGACGTCTCATTTTCCAGAGTTGTGGGATCAGACATTGCTTTGGCGATTCCAAAAAGTCATGTAGAAGAAAGGAGAAAGAATTGGACTCGTCCGGAAAAAATACATTCTGCCATGAATTTGACAGGGAAAACTCTGGGTGTTCCTCAACATGAGATACAGATACAGTAGGTGTACTCACTCATAGGGGGGCAAGTGGAAATGAGAAATATGCTCCTATGCAGCTCTCTGATGCAACAGATCGACTTTTAAGAGGGTTTCTATGGCATGCAGGATGTTTTTTTTTAAGTCTCTTTATAGCATGATTGTTATGCTTAGAGTTACGCTGACTCAGAGATAAAAGGTGACAACGTTTCCTGACCCACTGCTTGCATTTTGCAACGTGGTGGGCTGGAAAAAAAAAAGAGTAACTTTTTGCTTTGCTTCCTGCATGGGCAGTATCGCTTGCTACATCTGGCATGCCCAGAAGTGTGCATGTCTGCAACTAGTTTGTCTTTCTTTTTCAGCCCTGTCTCTTTAAGTAGTGACATGCTAATTGTACAACCGCAGAACAGATAAGGAGCAGGGCTGGAGCCATTTACTCGGGAGAAATTGGGAGGATCAGGGGTGACCAGGAGCTGTAGTTCCAGGTAACTGACAAACCTTTCGGGGACCGACAGTAGGGCGGGTTTTTACAATCTGACGTTTGTGTGCTTTGCTGGAACAACAGGCCCGCAGCCTGTGGCTGGAGGTGTTCCTCCTGCCACTAGCTGCTGGAAGGAGGAAGCACAGGCTGAGCTGCTTCTGTTGGAATGTAGAGGGAAGAATAATGAGGCAATAAGGAGACACAGCAATCTCACACAGGGGTCTCCCCCTTTTTTAAAGTGACAGTGTGTATGCCAGCTATGCTTGTGTAGGATCAAGATCCAAGTGACACCGGCTCCTAGCATTCTGGATATTGTGTATCACTTCCCATCCATAATTCACTCATCTCAAACACCGCCTGAGTTACATGCAAAAGCCTTATCTATTGTAGTTGATTAATATCAACTGTAGTCCTACTTTTACCAACAAAACACATTACAATCTTTCAGCTGCGCTGGTAAATTATTCACTGCAGCTTTATATACGGCACATACTGTACAGTGCATACTGAGTTCATGCCTCTCTTCATTTCTCTTTTTATCAAAGAGGGGGATCATGGCGCATTTTTGGCCATTCTCAGCTCGCGATGTGCAGTGAATCAAGCACCCCGCGCCCTCTCACACAGTGGGGCTCCCACAGTCAGGCAAGTATCGCCTCTGCAGCTTCGTGGCGGCTAGGACTGCTATCGCAGGACAGTGCACACATCCCCGCTGCACAGCGATCCCCTTAATTGAGGGTTCATCTCCCTTAGAGTGGAATTCTCTCCCATCTCCCTGCTCTCCAGGCAGGGCCTCCGAAGCTGCACTCCCGCAGGTCCCTGGTAGGTGTAAGTGATTGTAGTGAACCTTGTGTGGGTGGAATTGCTGATGAGTTTACCAGGCTGGGGGCATTCTACAGGCACACTGACAGAGGCTAGGAGCTGGTGGGCATGACAGCCCACAGTGTACACTCATACAGTACTGACTTCCACTGCTGCTACTGCTACTGCTGCTGCTGTTGCTTGGGGAAAAAAAAAACAGATTTTCACAGACGGTTTCGCTCCAGGGAAAAACAGAGAGTGCAGTTTATCAGTATGTAAAGAGGCCAGTTCAGCGCTTGTCAGCAACTCCATTATCAGCTGGCTGGATGGGCATGGCGCTCATTTGAGGTTTGTAGTTTTCATTTGTGTTGATGCAAAATGATGAGCAGAATCGAGCCTAGAAATGGCCCTGATGGAAGTGGAGCGCTTGTAAGTTATTCAGCGCAGCCTTGGGAGTCTTTTCAAAAGATGACATGCCTCTTCTGTGGGGTGAAAGGGGTTAAAGGGTTGTGGAGACTTGTGGCATGCAAGAATACTGATGTTTTTTCTCTCCAGTCTGGCTCCACTCAATGATTAGAGGAAGCCGTCGCAATGATGTTAACAGTCTGAAGTTTAACATCCGTCATTCTCCGATTTCCTATTTAAACATTAAGCACTCTGCTCTAAGTACATTATTGCCTCCTTTTTTCGGAAACGTTATGTAAAATGTTTCTGAGGAGCGTTCACTCCTTTGCAGTCATTTTTTTCCCTATTGACCTCAGATCTCTCCTATAGTTTCTACATGCTCATCTGACTAATTTCTCCTTTTGTAATCTTGATTAAGCTGCTCAGACTGCCTTCCTTTTCCTTGACAAAAATAAAACAACCACAATTGAATTAAGTAAAAAAAAAAATACAGCCCTACATTTGTTCCAGCTCAGTAATGGCCTTCCCCAACAAAGTGGAGCTCCCCATCTAATTGGAGAGTTATGAGGCGGTGCTGTTTCCTGGAATAAGGAATGTGAAGGCGATGTTGAACCATCCTTCTACAGCTGGCATGGATGATGGTGAGTAGAGCATTAGAAATTCAGTTTGGTCTTTTCACTCAATTACCTCAGCAGAACAAACCCCCCTTCTGCCACTGAAGCACCACATCACCACAGCACAGAACCTTAATTAACTAATTAGTTAACCCGTGGGAACCTAGACGTGGAAACTTTTGACTTCCACTTCCAACCGTCTAAATATTTGAAGTTCATCCCGGAACTGGAGCCACTGGGACAAAGAACCTGGCTCAAGGTGCAACAGCAGTGTCTGCAGTAGGGACTTCAACCTGCAAACCCACCCTGTCATGAGGTCAGAGACCTAACCAACTATATTATACCACCCCCATGTCAATCTTGTCAGTGTCTGTCTGTGTTCATACCGTAGACCTGGAGAACGATATCTCACTCCTCTGCATACTTGTATATGACTGACAAATAAGCTTGAACTTGAACATAATAAAATCAGACTGTAAACCGAGAGGCACTGAATAATGTAACAAATGCCATCGATTCCAATATTCATCAATAGGTGTGGAATTTCTAATGTCTCTCAGTATATATTATAGGCTATACATGGTTAATAGACCTTATTTACTGCAAGTCTGGTTCATATTTCACTACCCACTATCAATAGATTTACCTTTAATAACAGAAAAAATATTTAAGAAAACATATGGTTTACATACAAAATAAAGCCTTTGGAGTCATTTATACATGCAATTCCACATTGCAATCTTATTTTATTTTCTGGTAGAAATGCAGATATTCATTGCATACAGATGGAGAATTATAGCCTCACTTCAGTACTAATATTATTAATTATTATTAATTTCCTTTAGAAAGGGAAGTTATTCACTATTACTGTACATGTTAAAGTGCTTGGCACAAACATGCACTTCACACACGGCACAAAAGATACAGAAAGCCTTAATGACTTTATTATTTTAATTGTTTAGGATCGTTGTACCACTATTGAAAAAAGGAGCCTCCACAGTTTACAGAATGGGGATTTTGTGTTCATTCATTCAAAGATGACATAAAACTCAATAATAACTTGAGAACTAAAAATAATTTGATCAGAATCTAAAATCTGAAAGTAAACCTTAATGGCTAAACTAAACGAAAACTGGTTGAGAAAAAAATGGGACATATGCTCTGTCACTATTGTAATGGCTTGACATCAAGGACCTCATTTATTCAGAATGACAGTATGCTCGATTGCTAGACCGTTTAAAGATTATGATGAAAAAATAGAACCTTTTCTCTAAAGAAATCATTTTTCACTTACAGTTTTTTAAAGAACTTCTGTCGTTCTTCCATACTGAGCTCACCCAGGAAATAAAAGCCTGTGGCCACATAATCATTTGCAATAATCTTATGAAATCATTCCAACTTTTATTTCACACTTGACATTTTATGTGTAACGTTAGGTGCAAAATTAAATTATGACTCATTTACAACCGAAAGAATACAAATTATTTTTCAGCCACAATTGAAAGCAGTGGATTGAAATGGGTTTTAACCTGATACTCCACCTCAAAGTGTGATGCAGAAGCAATCACAAAGACTGTACTTTGAACAAATGAAAAAAACAAACAAATAAACAAACAAACAAACAAACAATAATGAACATGAATTAGATCTCAGTCTAATTTTTTTACTTTGTCACAAGTAAAATGAACAGGAAATCTTTATGAGGATGTACTGTACTGTATATTCGAGTAGTTCCTGGGAGACACCCGAAGTCTCTCAAAGGCAGGGGTACTCAATCCTGATCCTGATGGACCTATGCCTCCTGGATTTTGTTCCAGCCAAACTCTCAGTAACACAATTCAACCCTTCACTGCCTTAATAATAGGATTAGTTGGAACTGGGTGAGTATTGTCAGATCTTAAACATCTTGGAAGGTGCTTTTTAACTTTGCAATTCATAAGTAAAATCAAACATTCCTGTGGCACAACTTTTCAGTCCAGTTAAGTCTTCAATGAAGCTTGGCTGGAGAGAAAACCAATAAGTGTGTGGTCCTTCAGGATCAGGATTGAGAACTCCTGGTCTACATCATGGGTGATTCAACTTCAGCCCTTCCATTCCATTCCGAGTCTTTGTTCCAGCTAATCCTGAAGGTTCAAAGTGATCTTAAGCACCAGAGCTAATTAAGCAATCAAGGCTAATTAAGCAATCTGTTGTAAAGTTCAAAGTCCTGCAGTAAGGAAAGTAATTCTGTAATGCTCCTTGTCTAAGGTCTGGTATTCAAAGTGGATCTGCAGGCTGGTGTTACTTGTTACTTGAAATGTGCTGCTTCACACAGATTTGATTACAGCTTTGTAAATTATTCCAAATTCAGCAGTAAACTCACAAAACATGCACAAGTGAGATTAATTGCGAACAAGGGAGTGTGCGGAACACCAGCTAGCATTACGTGATTTTAGCGGGGGAGTCCGAATGTTATGAAGCCTTTGATTAGAGAGAAACGTTTCATTAAAAACCCAGTAGGCTCCAGACTGGAAATATGGGAGTTTAAACTCTTCTGGCACGGCACTAGGAAGTGTGTGGTTCCAGTAATAAATCTGCACTCTCAGATGTTGCTCAGACATTAATGGAAGCTGGGATCTAAAAGAGAAAAGAACGGTTTTGCATGTTCATTACCGATGTTATCAGGATAGCGAGAAGATATCGGATCTTTCAAATCTGCCTGAATATTTCATTTCAAACGAGCATCGGCTGGCCAAGAAACATTTCCTCTATCTGGATCTCTCCTGTCTGAGTTTGCTTTCTATTTTACAGTCAGTTAAACCCCACAGGGGCGGATTCAGTCCCTCTGTAAACATCTACTCCACACAAAATAATGATAATAAATACCAGAACCTCTTCTCAGTGATGTGCTTTACTTTTCCAGAGCTCGAAAACAAATACCAACAAGAAGATAAACTGAAGGTGAGGATATAGTATGGGTTATGGTATGGGTTTTCAGGGTGGTGCTGTGGCTCTGTGGCTAAGGATCTGCGCCTGTGGCTGGAAGGTTGCCAGTTCAAATCCCACAGCCAGCAGAGGAATCCTACTCCATTGGGCCCCTGAGCAAGGCCCTTAACCCCAACTGCTCCAGGGGTGCTGTATAAATCGCTGACCCTGTGCTCTGACCCCAAGCTTCTCTCTCTCTGTCTGTGTGTCTCATAGAGAGCAAGGTTGGGTATGCAAAAAGATGAATTCCTAATGCAAGAAATTGTATATGGCCAATAAAGTGATCTTCAGTTCTCCCCATGGAAAAAAAAAAAAGCAGATAGCAATTAGTTGTTTTGCGGTGGGCAGGTTTCCCCAAGGAAAAATCAACACCAGTATTTGCATGTTCATGGAGAAAACAGCTTCCCGTCTTGTGCTATACATTCTTTGGAAGCCCTGTACTGCATTGTGATTGATTGTGAAATTGGCGCGTTCAGAAAATGCACAAAATAAAACTGTAAATTGTGCAGCGTGGGGACAATGCTGGAGAGGAACACCTTGCATTGATACACGTGTGTTAAAAGACACAAAGCCGAGATACAGTATGCCCTAGGCACTGACATGCTTGTCACAACAAAGCGATGTGTTTTTTTTTCCAAATCACCAAGCATGACCAAGCATTCATTACTAATAAGCACTCTTTAAATATGAATGTTATTAGAGTTTATCTTTTGGAGTTTGACAGAAAGGGAGGAAACAACAAGACAACGAGAATGTTTTATATAAATGCCAGGGCAAACTAGGAAAATTCAAAGAAAAATTCCAAAACTGGGGAAGGGGGACCTGACATAAACAAAAAAAGTATTTTGCTTGCAAGTGTAACTGTCGCTTAGCAACGCTGGCCTTAGTTTCTTTGCAGCGGTGCAAACAACACACAGACTGATGAAGAAAGCAGAGTAGATGGGAGGAATTAAAGAGAACAAGCGTAAAATGGTTGATTCATAGGCAGAGGCACTGATATAGCAAACGGATGTAGCTCAAGACTGCAGTCTTACATAACTCTGCTGTCTGTCTGTATGTCTGGTGTGTGGTTGAAGCTGCCTGAAGACTGACCACCCACTGCTTCGCTGGGGTGAGAGTAGCACCTGCACTTACACCCCCTGGCCCACAGGGGGCGACAACCTGTCTCAAGCTCTGAGCAGCATCTCATCTGCGTTCTCCCAGACTGGGGGGGATGCTCTTGCCTCTGCCTGTCACTTCAGCTTCCTGGGGCTCATTCTGACACAACGCTTTCTTATCCGGACACCCTCCTGTCCTCATTCCCACTTGTGTTGTTTTTCCTTGCTCCTTCTCTTTTATTCACCTCGGGTGTATTTTTGTAGAGAATGTTTAAATAAACCGGCAAAAAAAAACAAAAACAAACAACAACAGTCCTTTAACAAAGCACCGTCTGTCGTAGCCATTAAAAAGGGGCCTCTGTTTCAGCTGTTTCACATTCAAAAGGGAGGAAGACGGGCAAAAAAATCATGATTTCTAGCCACCCACATTCAGTCAGGCCCACAGTGGAACAGCGGATCTAAGAACACAAGTTTAGAAACTTGAAAGGTTGGAATGAGGTGACATTGTCCTCAGCCATTCACCTACAGAATATCCATCCATTTTCCAACTGCTTCATCCAATACAGGGTGGCAGGGGAACTGGAGTCTACCCTGGCAAGCCACAGGCACAATGCAGGATACCAGGATACACCCAGAATGGGAGTCCGGTCCATCACAGAGCAGACACAGACACGTACACACTCACACCAGGGCCACTTTTCCCAGAAGCCTATTAACCTACCAGCGTGTCTTTGGACTGTGGGAGGAAACCAGAGCACTGAGCAAAAACCCACACAAACACAGAGAGAACATGCAAAACATCATGCAAATAGCACCCCAGGTCCAGAACTGAACCCAGGGCCCCCAGCATCTTTAAGCGGCAATGCTAACCGCTGCACTGCTGTGCTGCCCCCTACTGGATATACACAGTAATAACCTCTTGCCTTGGAAACTGGGCGAAATCTCGCTGGAGGGGAAAGTGTAACTGCAGGACTTTGCTCTTTAATTCTCGTTTATCCAAACCGCTACCCTGATCCACAAAGCCACCTGCTTGCCTAGTGAAAAAATCACACTCAGGGAAGTTGGGGATTGTAAAGCAAGGTCATGACTCAGCTGGATGTTGACACACATCCAGGGAGAAATATCAGTTCATCTCTCCGGCAAAACAAGATCAGGGGGTGGCACATCTCTTTTTCCACCCCCACCTCCGCCGTGCCTGAAGCTCCCTGCGATAGAAACGCAGCCCGGAACAATTCAGTCTAGGTGGCTGAATTTACACACTGCAGCCCTGCCGCGCTGCCCTGCTGCTCTGACTGATCAATACAGAGACGCACGCTGTCCTCTGACTCAGTGCCACGCTTTGTCTCTGTCCTTGCTCCGGAATGTTACAGCTCATCACAAACAAAGCCCTGACGACAACAGGACTGGCTGCAAAAATATGCCTGACATGGAATTAGAAGTCCATACCTGGAAGAAAAAATGAAATGGAAATCTATAATATTCTTATTCTTATTCCTATTCCTTTTCCTTTTCCTATTCTTATTCTTATTCTTATTCTTATTCTTATTCTTATTCTTATTCTTATTCTTATTCTTATTCTTATTCTTATTCTCATTCTTATTCTTATTCTTATTCTTATTCTTATTCTACCTAGACTTGGATTCCAAACCCAAGGGGAAGAGCTGCTGTTGGTGTACGGCTCAATGCGACAGGACACCTTTGTTTCACAGTGAGAGCAGCATCTGGCAAACGATATTCCCGGCTTTGCTTTCACTTGCTGGCACCCACGCCCTCACTCAATACCTCCATTAAACAGCAAGCGAGGCTGGGCATTGAAGTGGAGCTGGAGCCAAGCCCCGGCGCAATTGATACAGTACCTGCTGTTTTCGGCAGCTTACCGGCTACCGCCCTCTGTATCTTTACTGCCTGGTTCGTCAGAGCGAAACTGGGCCAAAGGGTTGTGCCTGAAGAGGCGGCAGCGTGCCTCTGTGAGTGTGACTGGCGCGGTGAGGGTACTGCTGGCAATTCGTTTCTCTGGACCAGACAGAAATAAGAAATGGTCCTGACCCAGATGCATGAGATAAGGCACACCACGCTCTGCGCCACGCACGCCAGGCGGCACGGCACAAGCAGTGTAGCGCCAACTTCCCGTCATAAAAGCGGATTACCCGTGGCATGCCATCCACGAAACCTCTCCTTTAGAGGCCAAATGTAATCAGTGCCATCCCACTTAATGAGCCACCAGCCTGTCTGATGCCTTTCAACCCCCTCTGAAGGAGTGAGACAGGCGACGCTGTGCAATGATAGAATCGTTTCCACTTGCTTCGGGATGAGTGAGGGTGCCACGGCTGTAGTCTCTCAATATTTTCCCATTTCCTGGCTAGAATAATTTACATCTCCCTCCAAACGTCCTCGGTTTGCACAAATACAGTTGCAAATGGACATGGTTACCCCTGTGCTGGCATCCCTGCATGGGATACCTGTAATGTTTAGAATACAGCTACTGTTTTAGCTTGTAGACGGACAAGGTTACCCCTGTGCTGGCATCCCTGCATGGGGTACCTGTAATGTTTAGAATACAGCTACTGTTTTAGCTTGTAAACGGACAAGGTTACCCCTGTGCTGGCATCACTGCATGGGGTACCTGTAATGTTTAGAATACAGCTACTGTTATAGCTTCCCAAACACTGTCTGGAGTCCTATCCAGATTCTAACTGCCACTACTGTATGTGTCAAATCAAGCCAATCCAATTAAAAGAATGCTGACATTCTTGGTTGTTACAGGTTAACAAAGCAAAGGAACAAGTACAAGTTAATTCCAAACTGAATAGCAGAAAGAAATAAAATCCGATTTTTTTTAAAATTGGTGCCTTCTTTGTGTCTGTCACTTATTAAAATATTATAACACGTTTATGCTTTATGTTTCAGTGAGGAAACGATTCTCTGATTGCGCTTTGAGGTTCTGGAGTCTTAAAAAATTGAAACTATAGCAAGCCACATTTAAAGAAACAGACGTGGTTGAAATGCCCTTTTACAGCTTGCGACGTTTTATTTGCGCTGCAAGTTCTTAACTATGCTAATTGAACCTGGGATTCAATTAATGCGATCAATTAACCGCTCGAAATTCCTGTGACACTTCACAACCCACTCAATTCATGGTTTGGGATTTTTTTTTTTCCCGGCGATGGAATTTTCCACATATTTGCAGCAGCAACACAAGATTCTCAGATCTTGAAACCCTATCAATGGAAGGCTTACTCGACTGAATGTCTATGGACTCCGGTACATACAGGGGCTGAAGTATAACGGGGAGAGGCGGGGTTTGCTATAACCACATGGTAAGTGGTAAATGTAGTGGGATAGCGGCGATGCTCTGCCTGCCTCTCACTGTACCGGTGACAGCGCAGGGAGCGGGCGTGTAGTGTGAAGCGGGTTCAGCCAACACTCGCTGTCAGAAGCGAGGTACTGTATCTACAGTATAGCCGCACAGACGGGCGCGCTCTCGCTCGCTCTCTCTTCCTTCAGAGACAGACGCACGGCAGAAGGCAAAAAAACTTCTTCATTTAACACTTCCGTGTTCAAAATGGCTGATCCGGTGCTCGCGAGCAGCGACGGCGAAGGGGGCGAGAACATCACCAGGTTCGCGAGGCAGGGGGCTCTGAGACAGAAGAATGTCCACGAGGTCAAGAACCACAAGTTCATCGCCCGCTTCTTCAAACAGCCGACCTTCTGCAGCCACTGCACTGACTTCATCTGGTGAGCCAGCGCACGGGCGGACAGTAGCCAAATTGTCAGAGCCACCGGAGAGGCGACTTGGTCTAGCTAGCGCAGGACACAGGTGCCACCTAGATCTCGGGACCCCAAAGACCACTTGTGACCACAAGATGGAATTTGAACGTTAGCAATGTGGCTTTTTGATCCGGAGCGCGAAGTGCAGTATTTATTCGTGCATGCCTTCCCTTCATTTCGTTATAATGATACATTTGCATGAGCGGGGTTCTCCAGTTGAGCTGAACCACCAACGCCACAAAAATGTTGAACAACTAAAATGAGCGCACGGCATTCTTGCGACCGACTCATGGGGGAAAATCGAGGGGGAAAAATAAAGACTGAGCCGTTTTCATTTTGTATTCGGGCTCACGCCGACAGTGTTTTTTAGACAACTTTGGGAAAAATGTGAACTGTGTTGAGATTTGATTATGTCTGTCAGTGGCTCAACGTTAGAGAAACGGAAAGCTGATGATCAGCGCAACAGCTTGGATGTGTGCAGCCCGTTGAGTGTCTTGTGCATCTGTTTTGAGATAGTTCAGGCTGTGCCGAGGCTCCGTGCACATGATGGCTCTATATGCCCTGTCCTTCCCCTTTCTAATGGCGATATTCTCTTTGATTTCAGGGGTTTCGGAAAGCAGGGGTTCCAGTGTCAAGGTAGGCGAACGAGCATTGATAATGCACCTTCTCAAAACGCGCCTCTTCGTTATACGACTGCCCGTCTCGGGACTTTAAAAGCGAGGACTCCGGCCGTTGTGCTTGTATTCCTATGGAAGGCTGAAGCCCAAGAGCGAATGACGGGTTTGATTGTTCCTAGTTAACAGGACGTGCAATTGTATTCACTGCTGTGGCGTAAAAGGTGGTACACCGGTACGCTCTCCGCTCGCCTGAATTTGAAATTGATGCGCGTTTGCTCTCTTGCGCTTCAGATCGCGAATTTATACCACGCAGGGTTTAGACAGCGGAGGCGCGCAGCTTCCCGAGTGATGTTCAGACACCACGGTTCCTATCTATGGCTTTTTGTTTCTAGTGGAGGAAAAAAAATGGCAGGTCCGCGTTCCGCAATAGCTGTTGCCTGCAGTTCGATAGCCCCGGTAACACAGTCAAGTCAAACTGCGGCAGTGTTGCTGTGGGGAGCTAACGACGATTGCGCGACGTGGCGGTGGACGACCTTGCCAAGCGAGAGACAAAAGATGTGAGGATACCGTAGACAGCGATGCTCCTACGGTCATTAAAGATCAGCGTGGCGTAAAGGAAGAGACGTATTTTGTTCTATACGATAGAAATGTGCACCGCAGTCTTGAATGGATTTGTGAATGCATGGTTCTGTATTTGTTTCCAAGATGCACCTGTATGCTTTCTGAGGCGATTCCTAATCCGTACAGATTAAGCCCTCGTTACAGCTTGTTTTCTTCTCTGATTGATCGCTGTTGTCCAAACTGGAATGTGTCAGGAAAGAATCACGCATCCAGATCGACTTCAAACGCAAGCGCGCATCCTTGCGTTTCTGGCGCTCATTGTTGAATAGCTTTCTAAAACAAAAGTACATCGAAAACGATCATGAAGTACAAGCTGTCAAAACCCTTCTTCATGCATATTTTATATTGGCCCATATGTCTTCTAAAAAGCTTTTTTTTTAAAAAAAATGTTTTTATTTTTTGTACAGCCTTTTGTTTTGTTTTTGTTTGCAGTAAATTCAGACACCTTCGACAGATGTGCGAGGTGAGGGTGCCTGCAGTCAAAAACATTTCCTCAGATCTGCGGACGCCAGTAAACATTTACAATGCAGAATCGCTAGTTAGAAAGTTTGAAAAAACAAGGATTTGCCGTCGTAGATACTGTACACTTGTAGTACACTTTCCTTCCTGTGCAAGCATGTCCTGTTGGCGTTTTAGATAAAGCTCATGAAATATAATTAAAAAAAACCACCCCCTTCGTTTTGTTTCAACTCCAAAGCGCCTATAAGTTTGAATTATAAAGTTACGTTTAAACAATAAAACAATACATTTTTTAAACAATAAAATCATGCAAAGTCCAGCTTGAAACAAGCAATCAGTCGCTATTTGCTGCTTGTTTGAAATACAGAGCGCTTTGCAGAAATACGCACTGTACGGCAGATGCTTTCTGCACAGGTAGAGCGTACTCTTGGACACCGCGGCGACAGGACGTTATGAAATATGACATGACTTTTTATTTTGAGGAAGTTGCTCTGGTGCCAGCGCCACGAAAGGCTGCCCTTTCCTGTGGTTTGCGTTTCTCAAACAAACAAACAAAACGCGATGTTGCCGGAGCTGAACGGTGCGCTCTGGACGGATGAACTGGAGGAGAACGGCGTGACAGAAGCGCTCGCCGGAAAAAAAAAAAAAACACCTTCCCTACATTGCGCGCCTTGCTGATATCGTGAAATTTACACACAGCACACGGGATGATTCAGACGATGCACAACACTGTGGGAGTGTTGAGCAAACTGGAGGGAATGTGGAGGATGAAACGCGCGAGAGAAAATGGCTGATGGCTGTTCCCAGCCCAGTTTGGCCAATCTTGGAGCTCCAAGCGCTCTTCATGAATCACCTTCCATAGTGAGAATATCGTGGATTTTACATAATCCTTCAATTGTTGTATTGGCTGGGAGGGGAGGGTTTAGTAAACGGCGAAACATGATTTATTTTGTTGGCACAGGCAGCAGTGGCTCAATCTGAGAATTCGACAACTGCTTGGCTTTCTAATGCAAGCTGTTGCAAGTTAGCAGGCTATACAGTATCAGTGGTGACACAGGAAATGCGCTGACGGGCTCAACAGTTTATTCTGCACACACACACAAAAAACACCCCCGCCTCCCCACACCCCCTCCCCCTGTAGACTCATACTGGAACCAGCAGACAAGAGGAAGGATTTCCAGCTCACTTCCACTTTTACCACACACCTAGAACGACAATGGCAAGCACGAAAAAAAACCAAAACAACAAACATGGTCGCCAGGGCCTTGATGGGCCAGGGTGTCACGGCAACGGAGGTCCTGGCTGGGTTCGCGTCAAGCAGTGGTGCTTGTGGACTGCGGTGACAGAAACCCACCCTTTTCCTGTTTTCTCCTCCGAAGCGAGACAGCTAATCGGCACGGGGTTGGTGGAGGGAAAGTTCTCTCAGCCTTCGGATCTAGTGGGTTGAAGATTCTGCGCAATCTTTTCTCATGTCTCAATTTTCCCCCCCTGTGCGTCCCACGCCAGTCGTCCTGCATCGAACCCCACAAGTCCTGCCTGTCCTTAGTCTGTTTTTAGTTTTTTTCCACCCCTGTACAGCTGGAACGACACATAACCAAACAGTTTCTTTAGAATCGAATCTTAAGAGATAGACGTGCTACATCTCTACGGTCTTCTGGCCTGTGTCTCCTTCTTCCTGGGTGTCTGTGCCAAATTCTGGAACTTGCAGGGACAGAGACATGTTTCTAAAGCGTTGTCTTTATCGTGTTTCGTGTGCCAGCCAGCACTTCTCAAAAACGAGTCCCTCAGCCTTGTTATCTGGTTTTCTTTAGAATCGATTTCTTCTTTGTTTTTTATAAACTGCCCATCACAAGGCATGCCTCATTTTCAGAAATACAGCTCCAGTTGCAAAGACAGATTATCAAAAACAGGGCTGGGTGCGGTCTAATACGCGCTTTTTACTTAAAAAAAAAATTGCTGCTCTGCTATAACAGCCTTTACAAGGTTATCAGTTAACCATGCACAGACCTAGGAGGAAATGGATTGTATCACACATGATCTGATAACCATTTATCCTTATGACAAGGGCCCAGTTGCCTGCATTCCAGGCCCCGAAACAAGAAATATGGATCAGATCGGGACATACTTTAAACATGGAAATATACATTTTGTTTTCCACAACGGCAGCAAAAACAACAGACCTTGAGACAAAGGTTAATTTTTAACTCTAGCACATTAATTAAAGTTATAATTAACTTATTTGGCTGACCCTCTCCTCCAAAACGACAAGCTTTCACTTACATACGCATTTATTGTTCCTGAGCTGAGTGTGCTGGAGCAACCTGGTAAAATGTGCTCCAGCCTATCTGAACCCAGAGTCAGAGCCCCAACATTTTATCCTCACAGGGCACAAAGTACTGGGGATTTTATTCCTACACTACAAAGTTTTTGTTTGCCGGGTTCTGTTTTACTATGGAAAATAGTTTTTTTATTCTTTTGCATTTTTTGATGAACTGCTCTACAGTTAGTTGTTCAGTGTGGCGCAGAAGTCGTTAAAAATGCGCTCAAGGCAAGGTCTGTTAAACGTTTTCAGAATGAGAATAAGGAGCTGCGTGTCATGGAAATATTAACACTTTAAAACGGACCAGTGTAGCACGATGGTCTTGTACTAGTCTTGATTTTTTGCTGTCTCGCACTTTTTCATCAACTCTCACCCAGGGAAACCGGGAATCTGATAGGCTGAAGGGCAAAGGTGCCCCGTTCTGCTTTCGAAAACCAGGTGCGTTTCCAGGCAGCTTAACGCTTAAGGGCCTAAATGAGCTCCTTATTAGACCAGTTCGACAGCCTCTGCTGTCGCTTCAGGGGCTGGTGATGTAAAGAGACCTAAAAAACGTGCAGGCACGCCAGCTCTGCGGGAGCATTGTGGGACACCCTCACCATGCACTCCGCTGAAACAGCTACGTCGATTGGGAACGTGCGAAGGATGAGACACATGGGCTCAGTGCCTACAATAATTATATAACCTGTTTTTGCGGTCCCGCGACGCCCATCAGCTGTGTGGGTGCTGTCTCCGGAGCATTATGCTGACTGTGGGGGTGTGTGAATTGTGTGGCTGGGTCAGGGGTCAGGGGTCAGGGGTCAGAGCTCCCCTTCCTGCTTTCGATTCTGAGAAGTGCCATCCTGTGCCGTTTCTCCAGTGCCAGGAAAGGTGGCGAACTGCCCTAATGCCCCACTTCCAGTGGGTTTAGGATGGCAGAAACCAGGTCATTAAACCCTAGTCCGGTCAGTCTCTCGGTTTGACTGTGGACGTCTTGTTTTGTATAATATCTGGAAGCTCTTCATTATCTCCCACAATGTTTTTTTTTCTTCAGTTTTAAGATTTATAAAGCGTTTTCGCTTGAGGTAACAGGAAGCAACGCGGCGAGGTTTTGGCCTTCTGAAAATCAATTTCAAAGCATATTTCATGATGTGTAATGGGCTCTTAAAATGATGAAACGTTTTAATCTTCGGCAGAAGGAGCTGGATAACCAGCACGAGGGACTGGCAGAGAGATACGGGCAGTGTATTGCTTTCATAGTTTCCACTTGTATTTCGTATAACCTTGTCGGGAATAATTTGCATTTAATTACCTACTATAGAATATCTTTGTAATTCATGAAAAGACTTGTCAAAGGAAAGCAGAAGTGAATAAATTTGAGCTGATAATTTTTTTGGGGGAGTGGGGAGGAGTTAGTTGGATTTTGGTAGCAGTTTGCATTGAGTATCAGTTCGTCATTGCATGTTGAAATTTATTAAAACGACTTGAAATGAAGAAAAGCAATGCAGAGGCACGATGTGGTGGTCAGTGGTGACTGTTGGTGAGGATTTTTGGATCAGGTCCTATTGTAGTTTTTGTTCAAAACTGAAAAAAATGGAGGCTCTTCAGTCTGTCAGTGAAGTACATCTTCCTCATCCCCAGAA